AATGACCGCTGCTGTGATGATGGCTAATACCGCTTTCACATAGCTTATCCAATCAGCCATTAAGTCCCTTTCTCACTGCCTAGATTGAAGTTTGGGAACATTTGATACTTTAACCAGGGGTCAACGGGAGTTTCAGCGACCAAAGGAGCCATCGCACAAAGAAAACACGAAGGAGGCAAGGGCGACAGGGAGACTTTTTGCACAGGAGCCGAAACTGCACAATAATGTCAAACACTGCTGGCACGGGCTGGCAAGTTGATTTGCTAGAATTTACCGGATCTTCACTACCAAAATCACACCGAGCATGTCCAAGTGGACGCGCATTCATTCAATGAGCAACGCCCGGAACATCTTGCCCACGCGCTGCATGCGTGTAGTTGTAGGCAACTCCTTTTTGTACCTTTTGAAAGGTGACCGAGTGGGTTGGCAGCATGCCAACGAAACTCAGCACAATCAGAGTCTGCTGGGAAAAAAGAAAACCACACCTCCCAAGATGACAAAGTCAAACAAACAACATCAAACAACCAAAGCTGATTCTGTTCCGTAGCTTTGTGATATAAGTTCATGTAGTTGTTTGATATGGTGTCATTATGTTTGAGAAAAAGCACGTTGGGATGCGCAGGCTTCCTCGACCAACAGTCATATGTGGCGCTGCAGGCTGGTGGTCCATCCATGTAGCACACATGCTCCATGCACGAATTAAGTCACAATCCCAAACTCAGATTGACATTCTGTACTTGCATCAGGCACCCATTTCACATGTCAATCCTCGAGAGGATCTATTGGTACACGACTTCGTGTGAAGCCATCACTTTTCATGACTCCTTCTTGCTGGCAATGGAGAACTTAAACTTCTTCACTGCCAGAGCGATTCCCGCTGCCAAAGCAATCGTAGCAACAATCAGCCCCCCAATCATCAGGTAGACGGTAGATGGCAAAATCAAGGGAGATGGCATGAAGAAGCACAAGGTCACCAGCACCACCAGCAAAGTAACAATGCCGATGGTTGCACGGATGCTGAATCGGTGAGGCTTCTTCTCAATCTCCGCCTGGACAAGGCACAAATGCTCCCTTTACCTATCCTAGAGTACCCGTTCAATTATCATTCGTGGCTGATTTCAAAACGCTCTTACTTATCTCCAAGCCCATTGACCAAAAGCAAAAACGACATCTCTCACCTTCTCAGTCTTCGCAGTCTCAGCACCTTTGGCCTTTGAAGTCTTCTCAGCGCTAGGGCTTGCGACTTTGGCACTCTCTTCCTTGCCCTCTTTTGCCTTGGGTGCTGGAGAGGCAGCCCGAGACTTCTTCGTAGCATTCACTTCGGCGGCCGCGACCTCAAAGGCGGCCTCTGCGACCAAGGGCGCCATAGGACCAGTGTCTGCGGCAGCGAGTGGGTGCGAAGGTCGTTGTCTTGGAGCCCAGCTGCTGGAACACCACGAGTCCACGAGTCCAAACCGACCGGTGGAACCGTTCGGAGACCGGATGGCGTGGACCAGACTGGAAGACTATTCTCATCTACCACCGGTTTTCAGGGTCCAGGTTCTTCTGCAGGAGTGCACCTTCAAACACTTGTTCATGGCCTCAAAAGCCATCAAAGCTGTTCTCCCTCATTGGAGCTCCCAGTCTCTTTGTGAGTCAGCACGGGCTTGAATTGGCACACAACAAGTCCGCGCACGAATTGACAGGTCCAAGGCGCCCTACGGAAATGTCATCTGTTGCCATGAGATAGCCGTGACGAAACCCAAACTCATCCGAATACGTCCTGTGGCTTTTTTGTAAAACTCCCTGTCCAAATATCAAGTACTAGACTAGCCGCTCTAGCCAGTCTTTGAGCATCACTGGCCGGTCTGTTCCCCAAACGAAAAACCGGTGTCTGACCGTCCTGTTCCCGTCCTGTTCCCTGGCCTCTCAAGGAACTCCTCCAACTGAAGCCACACGAAGAACTCTGGGTAGCTACCCATCTCCTGTCGAGATGTCGCACAACACTCTCGGTCCAACTGGAGCACCTTTTTGGAAGCCGATGATCGGCAGACTGATGCGGGGGGCCGGCCTCCCATGTGGCAAACTCAATGTGAATGATTGAGGTCTGCAATCTGTAATCAACTGCAGTTGGGAGGCCCACGCCGTCAACCCGTCTTCTAATTGCGCTGGCCTATGCCGTCGGAAATTTCGATCATATCTTTCAACGGTGCAGGATGTAGCAGGCTTTGGCACAACATGGTGTTTAGCCCATCCAACCTCTATTGGTTGCACCAATCTTCATTCTACACATGCCACCTCGTGAAAGCGTTGCATAAGGTCGTAAGTCGTAGTAGTCAGCCAAGCCTTAGCCTTAGCCCAGAACATGAAAACCTTCACATTTATAGGTTTTGCTGCAGGAATCTACCAACAACAAAATATAGCGGGCAACTTCTCGTGTAGGACAATTCCATGGCACGTAAAAAAGGTGATGTGACTGTCGCGGTCTGGAATGGTTCCTGGTTCTATCCTGTGACGCCAGGCTGTTGAAGCATCTTGCTCCCGCTTTGAAGGCGGTCTTCCCATTCATCAAACAGCTCCAAATCCTAGAGTTATATAACAGGCTAGCCGTAAGCAACACCTATGAGTAGGACCACACCGACGCCATCTCCCTGCCTTAATTTCACGGCAGTCCCTTTGAAAGGCGCGAAGCGCCTCGGAAGCCTCGGCGGATGGGAGGACCGTTGGACCTCCTGGGCCTTGGCAACAAGGTATGCCATTCAGGTGTTGAGACACACCCACATACACATTCCACACGTCCGACTCAATAGAAAACAAGAAATAGCTGCATGCACGGGGTCTTCTATGAAATGGGGACACCTATGAAATGGAGGTGGCTGTCTGACGTTTCCTCGTGTAGATGGATAGCGAGTGACCAGGAACATCACACGATCAACTGCTGATGATGATACTGCGGCAATCCTTGATGATGCTAATGATGCTAGGTCTATAAGTGACATTCCTTGCATTGTGATGTGTAGTGACATGTGTAATATATAATATGTGTGTATATATATCTATATATATGTGTGCGTGTGTGTATAGAACTCGAATTGTCCACACGTGACTTCGGCGGTCGGTCGAGGGACTTCCATGCTCGAGTGAAAGGAACGCCCGATCGTAGTTCCTCAGGGGAGGAATCTTGTACTCCGCAATTGGTAGCGGTGCCGGGTATCCCGGCTCCCGCCATGGCTGCTTGATTGCACGACCTCTCGGTGGAGGTCCTCACACGTGACATGGCTGCAGCGGCTAGCGCGTCCGATAGCGCTGCGGTTCGAGGGTTTTCAGGTGAAAATGAAGATGGCCGCGAATATAAGCGGTGGAAGACCTGGGTTAAAAACAAGTTTTTGACTTTGGACAAGCTTCCTGAGAGCGCACGGGGCGCTTACATCTACACTCTTTTGAGTGGCAAGGCTCTGGAGGCGGTGGAACATGTTGATCCAGCGCTGTATCAGAAGAAAGATGGTGACCAAGGACTTTGGGAATTGTTGGACAAGAGGTTTCCACAGCTTGAGACTGTGGACGAGTTAGGGGAGATTCTGGGTCAGGTATTTCACCTTCGATCCAATGAAGGTGAGAATATGAAGCAATGGACTGCCCGAGCCTCGGAACTGTTCGATCGATGCTACCGGAAGACCGGTGTCCAGTTTCCCGATGAAGCTCGTGGTTGGCTCCTTCTCCATAGAGCTGGCCTTAGTGAAGAGCAGAAAGCTGTGGTGATTTCTAGAGCTCGAGGAGACTTGAAGAGAGAATCCATAGCTGCTGCCTTACGGTCCTGCTACCCGGAGTTGGTGATTACCAAAAGGCGTACCGCCATTGCCCTGGCGGAAGACGCTGACCCAGAAGCCGAAGATCCGTCCGACTTGTGGGAAGAGCACTTCTCCGATGTTGATCAGCTACTTGAGGATCACCAGCTGGCCTCAGATTTCACGGGTGATGGAGACACCTTTCAGGAGTCAGAAGTAGCAGAAGTCCTGGCCGCCACCTGGCGTGAACGTCGACAGGAGTTGAACAAGCTTCAGCAATCCCGACAGTTCAACAAGGCCAAGGACGTCCGAAGATCCTTTCGGGTGGAAGTGGAAGAAATGAAAAGGCACACTACATGCAATCGCTGTGGTAGGAAGGGTCACTGGGCCCGGGAGTGTCGTTCCAAGGAGGTCAACAAGAAGGGCTCAGGGAAAGGTGCATCCTCCTCCTCAAAGTCCAATGATGCCTCGACCACAGGTATTGCTGCCGTTGAAGAGTTGGATTTTGTTGCATCAGTGATTCCCCAACTCACCCTTCTTGAGCAGGTCCGACAACAGCGGCAGGACTCCTTGTTTGCTTCGCATCCCCTCCCGGAAGAGACCTTGTTGGTATCATCCCCCGGCTATGCCGTGCTGGATTCAGGCTGTGGCCGAACGATTGTTGGAATCAACACCCTTCGTTGTTTTGAGACCCTGTGGCGACAGCGTGGGTGGGCCGTCCCTCCATGGACGGAAGAGATCCACCAGTTTAAGTTTGGGAATGGTGATATTGAGACCTCAACCCATTCGGTGGCCATGCCAGTCATTCTGGCATCCAAGCGAGGACTGATCAAAGCAGCAATCATCAAGGGGGACGCCCCCCTGTTGTTGAGCAGATCAGCATTGAAAGCCTTGGGGGCAACGTTGAATTTTGAGAAAGACTGTTTACATGTTTTTCAACAAGTGGTGCCACTCAAGACCAACAGTGCCGGACAGTACATTGTTCACTTGGTAGGACAGCCAGCGGATCCAGTGTTTGCTGCCTCTTTCGATGAGGTGATGGCTTCAGTGGAGGCTCCCGATGTTGAACCGGAGTCCAACACTGCACCTCCGGATTCAGCAGGCACCACAGCATCCGTGCCTGCCGACGAGATTGCCTGTGAACCTGATCCTGCCGCCCCTTCCTTGCTGACTTGGACCCAGGAGAATATAGTGATGTTGTTAGTACACCGTGGTTGTCAAGAACTGGTCCCAAGTGGAATAGCGTTGTCCGTAGGAAGGTGATTGATTGTGAATCTAGGAGGGTTCTTGATGATGTGAGGGTCTATCCAGGGACACCCCAACATAAGATCATCAACCGTTTGCCAGGGAGATTCGCTCATGTTCGAACGGTGTTCACGTTTGTGCCGCATCCCTCACGTGATGAGCATGAATCTAGTTTGAACCTGACTTCACATCAATCCCGACAGCTCGAATCGCAGGTGAAGACATGTTTAGCAGTGCATGCTCGGCCTAGGGGTAAATGTTTGGTTATGGAAGTGTTTTCCCCACCACGTTTTGCCATCCAAGCCGAAGAAGCCGGCTTCCGTGCGCGATCATATGACCTAAAGACCGGATTCGATTTTCGTCGTTCTCGGGACAGGAAGCTGGTGGAAGAGGATTTGATCACAGATCCGCCAGAGCTTTTGGTCTTGTGTCCGCCTTGCACGGATGAGAGCGGATGGGTGCACCTAAACAGCACTAAGGGCGATCGACTGGAATACCTGAAACGTCGAGCACAAAGCCGATCGTACATTCGTTGGTGTTGCAAGTTGTTTCGACTTCAGACCAGGAATGGTGGTAGAGCAATGTTTGAACATCCAACGGGTTCCCGGCTTTGGACATATCCAGAAATGCAGAGTTTGTGTAGGGTATTCGAAACAGTCAAGTTGCACATGTGCAGGTATGGATTGTGCCTGCCATCCAGTGAGCACTACATTCGTAAGAGCACCCGTCTGTTAGTTTCGCACTCCGATATGCAGTCTTTAGGACTTCTCTGTACAGGTGATGCTAAGCACAGCTGTCATGACACCGTAGCTGGTCATGCTCCAGGGGTTGCCAAGGTCAGCGAATATGCTGGTCAGTATCCTAGAGAATTTGTTCAAGCCGTGTTAAACACTCTTGCCAAGTTCAGGGAGAAGCATCCAGAACATGGTGCGTCTAACACCTGTCGAGCACACCCTGCGTGTCTAGTAGAAGTGCTAGAGGATGCTGTGCATCCCGACGCGTGGACTGAGATCCTAGCCGCCGCTCAGAGTCAGGCCAAGTCCGATCAGGAACTCATGCCAGTTTTGATTCGCCTTCATAAGAACTTGGGACATCCTCCAAACCATGACATGGTGAGAATCTTAAAACATGGAGACGCATCAGAACAAGCGCTCCGGCTGGCGAAAGAGTTTTCGTGTGACTTCTGTAAGAGCCAGGCTCGTCCCACATCGCCGTTGCCAACTCAACCAAATCGCGTGTCCGAGTTCAATCATCAGGTAGGAATGGATGTGAAGCACTTGAAGGGTTGGCTTCCCAATCAAAAGATTCGTGCCGTGAACCTGGTGGACACAGCGAGTGGGTTCCAGAGGATGATACCATTCTTTGAGACCGAGACTGCCTCAGTCCTTCGGAAGCTTTTGCATGAACATTGGATTGCCTGGGCTGGAGCCCCAAAGGAGTTAGTTCTCGATCCTGCTAGAACCAATTTAGGTGAACAAATGA